TCTCTCTCTCTCTCTCTCTCTCGCTCGCATTATGTTGAAAATTTTCTCTTCTAATGGCGCCTGCGTAGTAATCCGGATTATTGCAAGTATAAACGTCATTATTGATCGGGACAGATTTGAGAGACCGTATATATTTATACATTACATACATGTGTGTATGTACGTATATACAACATAGGCAGAATTATGTATTTTTTTGCTGTGCAGAATTATATTTTTTTCTAAAAAAAAAACACGAACTTTTATGCCAGTCAGTGTTATGCAAATAATCCGAGTATTTATTCATTGGCGTCGCACGGTTCCGATCGAGTCCCGGTTTTTCAATCTCACCGTTCGGCGCACGTTATAATAATCTGCCGACAATAGCACCGTTATCACGACGTGAAATTAACTCGATTACGTGGCGTTTCGCGATAACGCGAGTACGTGAGCGATAACACGAAACGTAAACAAGTTGTGAAAAAAACATTCTCTCTTGTAAATAATACTTGCCAGAAGTGGATCGTAGTTAAGCGAAAAAAAAAAAAAATGAAGCAATCGCGCAACCGTGTCGTGTTGAAAGTACACACGTGCGTGTGTATAACTTTGCTTGTTATATTGTCTTTTGCAGAGATCCCGGGCAGATGGAAAAGACACTGTCCGAACGGGCCGATAATGTCCGATCCCGGTTGCAACCTGGTCGGCGAGGGAACCGCGGCCGGCGGAAATGCGGCGGCCGCCGGCAAATGCGTTTGTGGTCCGTCCGTGCCCTGGTGTCCGGGTGAGCCGCAGCCCTACATGTACCTGACGCGGCACGAGTGCAAGCTCAATTTGCAGGCGAAAATTGCTTACGGTAGGACGCATTCATTCCATATGAGCGTTGTGTGATATACGGCAACCTCGTGCCGGAACGGAGTGTGCATGCCCGATAATGCGCGTCAAAGTGCACTAATGGCAAAATTAATTTCACGCTCGATTCGTCAAATGGTGCGAGTTACACTCGTCTATCAGACGTGAATCGCTCATGCGCGTAACGCGGGATCTATCAATTTTAATTATCCCTATGTGTTCGTCAGAACCGACCGGAAACTTCTGCGTAATCAGGTAAAGCTTTAGCCTATGTGCACGCTTGACGCGTATAATAATTCGCTTCGATTTATTGCGTCCCTTGAGCATTGCGTCGATGATTGAGACGTTGAATGGGACGGTTGTGCACGAGTCAGCGACGATAAAAGTTTGCATTTATAAAATTCTCGTGACGAAAAATCAAGATTGTTTTCTTTTTAAAAATATTAAAAAAAACATTACAATATATTTCGAAGATGAAGACTTTATGCGTCTGTGAAAAACAAGGAAACGGACGTGGGAGTATTATTGCATCCATCCAATTATTGTTGCGATATAAAAGTGCTATTTGTTTCGTATTGTTATTTATATGTTTGAATGTGTTGCTGCATTTCATGATAAGAATCGCTGACGTGACGAACAGCGGGATCGATTTCGCATAAAAAGAAACGACATTTTGCAACGGGTCAGGGATAGACACCGCATTGTGCCGCGCGTGTAAAAATGTCTTGTAGCACTGCGTAATAACCAATAAACGTTTGGGCTCATCACACGCGAAAGTCATTACCGTAAACATTTATTTATTCGACCCATTAAAAATTGTAGCCGACAGCGCATCCAGTGTTTTAAACTCTGTTTTTCTGTCGCTTTTAAAAAACATGGCGCAATTTATTGAGCGCGTTGCAATTTTGCACTCCGTTAATTACGTAAACGATTACAATCACCTGTTGTTTTATCGTCGTTGATCCTTTCAGAGGACCCGGAACCTCGTTCATTTAGAAAGAACTTTTTTCCCTTTTCCGTATGTAATGTGTTGTTTTTTGCGTAAAGTTTTTTTTGCAAATCTGTTCTTTAAGATCGTTTAAACGGAGCTCGAGTTTTTGATCTACGGTTATTTATGTCCGCGCGTTACAAATAAAATAAAAAAGATTGATCGCGAGAACCGGTTGGGAATGAAGGAGCCAAGAATTGACAGTCATTCGGAGTCGCGTTGTTTTATTGGTCGATATTAATCGCCGTGTTTTTATCGTCGGTCGTTACTCCAGAAGGACGCGTGTCTTTCGGCTGTCCCGTTCTGTCAGCGCACGTTCGGATGAAAAAAGAGAAAGAGAGTAGCAAAAGAGAGAGAGATGGCGAATGAAATACGCGGGAAACACGAAGTCGGTTGCAAACAACAGCCAGGCGTTAATGAAAAGAAAACATAAATAGCGACAGCAAGGACATTGGATAAGAAAAACGGGAAAGCTAGACTAAAAGAGGGATACAGACGGTAATGAGAAAAAGACATAGGCTACGTTCGTGACGTAACGTTCGTTATCGGTTCCGTCGTCGGTTCTGATTAAAACGCGTAAAAACGACTACGTGAGAGAGAGAGAGAGAGAGAGAGAGAGAGAGAAAGAGAGACAGAAAGAAGATTGGATTACTCGGCTACCTTAGAACGACTTTTTTTCAGATTTCTCAGTTATCCAACAATGATTTCCGATGCGTACTTAGTCTATAACAACTTGTTTTCTCGTTCGATCAGTCACCGTTAATATTGAACATTTTTTAAAAGCAACATAATCGCGAAATTTCTTATTTTATTATCGAAAGAGAGAGATAACACATTATCAAGAGACACGGTAGTACCACGCGCAACGAAGTTGCGCTCGAAGCACTTGTGCCACTTATATGCAAAATTCATGCGATTGAGAAGTGAAGAGATTTTTATGGGGCAATATCTCAAAAACGACTGAACCAATCAATTTCGTTTTAGTCTCAATCGCTTTAGAACAAAACATAAAAAAAAAAGATATTCTTGCGTTTTTTGTTAATGTGTCTTTAAAAACGTGACTAAAGTAAAGTCACGTGACTTTAGTCACGTGTTGTTTTTCCACTCCTTTCTCCTTCTATTTTTCATGTTTGATTTTCATGCGTTATTTCTGTCACCTCTCATATATGTATTATATTTGATTTGTAAAACGGTCATGCTTTGTTTTTCTATATACGCAGTGTGTTTATCTTTGTTTAAGAGAATAATGTTTTGAAGTCTCGTATAGCAAGTTTGACACGCGCGCGTTTTATTCGGTTCGCTCGCTCTACTTCAATAAAATGCTCGTGTATCATCGAAAAGAAATATAACTACGCGTACGAGGCGACTCCATAACAGTTATGATTAGAGATCTTATCTGAGTTGCTCAGAATCAATAGTTAACTCGTTCTCCTTTCGAGTGCAACTTCCAGAAGTCCATCTCGGGCACAGTGCGGTGTTCAACGTGTAACGAGGTTGTTGGTGAGCGAGTAACAAAAGTAGTTATCCCGGCTGGTACAGAAAGTTAAATTCGATTCGTTGAGAAAAGTTTAATCGCGTACGTTCTATAAAGGTGGAAGGCAGACGGATTGTTCCTTTGCCGGTGAGTTAAGTACACGAGTAAAATCCCTAAGTCCAAAAGAGGAACAAAAAGACCAACCGCTCAAGTTCGTGTATCAAAGCACACAAATGGCACTTTCTAGATTAGAATCATCAACTGTTGAGTGATATCTTTGGTTTTGCATGAATATGTTTACATTTGCAGTAAGTTTAAGATGCTAAGATAAACAGTGAAAGAAACTTAGTGTTGTAACAGTTTCACGTTTTTTCTATTCAGAATATTTTTCGCTTTCATTAGTATTATGTGCATCAAATTTATCACATCTATATCCGCGATGCTAAGAGGAGACAAAATTTTAAAAAATAACTAAATAAACAAGAATTTTATTTAAAAAAATAAGAAAGGTTAATATCGAACCAAAAACAGATGGATGAATATATATATTCAAATAAAAGTGATTACATATGCGCAAAAATATTAAACTTGCGAAACGTTTCGAGCTCTTACATGAGTCTTCATCAGTCGCGATCGATTTACATGTAAAAATAAGAAAATACAAAAAATAAAACTGCAGAAAGAAATTAGAGGGTAGATGCGAAGTTGATTTAAAGCTTCTCACACACAGAACGTACGCTCCAATCGATCACGACTGATGAAAACTCGTAGAAGAGCTGGAAACGTTTCGCAATTTTAATATTTTTGCGCATATGTAATCACTTTTATTTAAATATATTCATCTATCTGGTTTTGGCTCGATATTGACCTTTTTTATTCTTTTTATTGTTTATATAACAAGCGTATCATTTCTTACTTTGTAAAGAATTTTATTGTTTTCAACTCACCCATTTATAAAATTCGTTTCAATCGCGTATCGCACATTATAAAAAGTTCTAATTATTTTTTGCGACATAAATATTTTTTATTATTAAGCTAATTGCGTTATCTGACGACAGAGATTTGGCTCGAATAGAATCATTTTGGCGATATCATTTCCCGCCGTGAAATAAACTGGTGTTCGAAACGTCCCGTGAATTTTATTGAACCTCATTGAAAGTAATTATTTCCCGGTTAATTGAGTGCAATGCCTCTGATGTTGTTCGCTAACCGCAATAAAAAATCATTGATTCCGCCGCAGACGTGTTACACCTCGAAATGCAATGCGTAGGAAATTGCACAAAATATAGAACGCAATAGCAGATACACGATGCACGCAGATACATGCGGAATTGAGTCCCACATTGTGCCACTATTGCATTTATATCGGCATTTACGAAATACGGTTATAGCGAACAGTTTTTTTTTCCGCGCAATTTTATTGCACGAAAATAACTAAATTCTAGTATGTCAGTTGGTAATTCGGTTATTTTAGTTTCAAGCACTCAATTTTGAGTTTCTTAACTGCTAATAAAATATTTGATAACATAAAAAAAAAAAAAAACATACTGGTTGATTTGTATATAACGGGTGTTCTGCAAACACTCTTATGTTCACTTATCAGAGAACTTGCTGATAACAATAGATTAATAACAAAGTTGTGTGTGTCCTCTCTCTTTGATGTGCGTGTATATTGCTCAAATTGCTCGTTCTTGGCAGTAGCGACCTGCCGTTAACGGAAATTAATTCGTTTAATAACGCGGGCAATGCGAATTTACACTTGGCTGGAAGTTTGGTGCCGAGATCGACTTTGCACAACACTTTCAATTTCAGTTTATGCTGGACCATTATACCCGCATTCATTTTATGTTGTGGCCTAACAACTAGTTCGTCGCATTCCAATGGCGAACTTATTCGACACGCTAATTTACGGAATATGAAGCGAATTGTTCGCGCGAATCATATTGCGCGAATTAATAAAACTTTGCTGATGCTTAAGGGACGCGAATTAAACGCCAAATGGCAAGAATTTTATTGGAATAAATTTTCACTTTTGTTGAAGCGCTTGTGAAACATCTGGTTAACTAGTTGTATATTTCTCCTAATTACTAGAACAGGCGGAGAGAAACTAATTCGCGAGAGCAATCGTGAAATGTAATGCGGTTTTTTTTTTTAAAGCATATAAATTAAGAATAACTCTCACTTGTTCACATGTTTTTTCGTTTATTTCAACGTATCATTGCGAAAATTCCAGACTTTTTGTAATTCTATAATTTCTAAAATGGCATTTAAACGAACGCTTTGTATTATACATTTCACTTTCATAGCTGAGTTCTATATTGTGAAGATATTATTGGAAATCTTGTTTGAGCAAGAAACTGATGTTATATTTTTTTTCCAATACTTTTGCGCTGATTTATTTCTGCGAGGGAATAATGTAATTGATTATCTTCCTAAAAA